CACCCAGTTTTTTTGCATCTATGCCAAGTACAGAGAACACACGATAGAGCTATACCTGTTTGGAACGGCAAGCTCAAACCATATTAATATAAATCAGCTGATTGTCAGCGTATCACGAAGTTTAGTTTCTTTTTACATTCATCAAACTTTTAATTGTTTTGGTCAGATAAAACTCCAAAAGTATCTCGCAGTCTTAATACCAGTATCATTTTTTTCTTTTTTTTATTTTTGCTCTTCAACAACAGTAGTTAAATAAATCGCTCCTAATAAAAACTGCTAGAAGAGAGTAAGGTGGAATAGTAATGAGCAAAAGATAAAAAACCACCAAAAATTTCATTGTAAGTGCCAGCTAAGAATAAAACAGAATTTAAGTTGGAAATAAAGTTCTCTGATTATTTCTTCTGTATCAAAAACTGACTTACAGCATAGAAAATTACAAAAGAAATTCAATTTATTTTTATTTTTAGAGGTTTCCAAAAAACTGCAAACTTTTTTTTTTTTATGATGGCATCAAAGCGGTATATCTGAATAAAGATCTTCTAGAATTGTTCCAGCCATTGTTCTGGTTTTCAGGTTACACAGATAGTCAAAAAATAGTTGCGATAACAAGAATCACTATAAATTTTTCATCAGTAGCAAAAGCAAATGGAAAAGTAAACGAAGAACAATGAACAAGCTACACTCAGTAATTAACAATACTTCCATAAGTAAAATTATTTTTCCTGACTATTTTTTGTGCAAAAACGGTAATACGGCAGTATCAGACGATGTTAGTCAAGAAATTAATAGTTTTGCCATTTCTTAACACTGAACCATTTCCATCTGTGTTGCAGAGGCCATATTAATCATCCGATGATAACTTCAAAGTAGCAAACACTTCATACTTTCATTCAGACACTCCACACAGCAATGTTCGGCAATAGAACTATTGTTGATGTTTATATGAAATTAATTTTTGACCAAATTTCAAGCTGTTACGTTCGTTAGTTATCAGCAATGCACATAAGAAGGTAAAATTTGCTAGCTGACTATGCATGTCGGTTTTGGCGACTATATATTAGATGTATTTGTATCAGCGATGAGGATACAGTTGATGATCACCAAGTAACTACAACAGATTATAATATTTATCTGCTATAAGTGCTTGCATAAATGTTTCTATCTGTGTGTGTGTGTGTTTTGTGTGTTTTCATTGTACGTATAGATCTGTTTGTTCGTTTGTGTGTAGTTACAGATCCAAAATTGTTTGAAGACGGGATGAAACAACGATTTTCTAGATCCTGCTCCCCGGGCTATTTGTACGCTGCAGTGCCTGGAACCATGGGTTTTGGGAAAATTCTACCTACGCCTTCTCTTAACGCACTATTTCATGCAGCTACGGGGAAGTGCGCCCAATTTTTAGTTTTTATTTACAATTTTTTTTCCATACTCGATCAAACGCCGCTATCGGTATTTTAAATATATACCGCATGAAACACATACCTATACACATATAAGTGTATACTAAGGAAAAAAACAAGAAAAAAATTCAACTCAAATAATCCGCTTTTTTCTCTTATCTGTATTTGATATTTTCATTTCTTTTTTCCTTCTTCATCGAACGTGATCCACAAAAATCCATCTACTGTACAGCGAAAAAAAAAGAACAGTAATTTTTAGTTCCTCTTTATTACTTTTTCCCTATTTTTTTTTTTGCACTTTTATTTGCAATCAACTTTCACCCTTATGCTTAGAATGAGAAATGTAAATTTGAATATTATAAAAAACAGCTACGGTACCCCATTGAAACAAATAGAGCCTTAGCTAGCATACCTATTAGTTTCATCTTTGGTATTGTATTTTGCCTACACCTTTACTGCTAACTTCTTGATTACCAACCTTGGTTCAGGTTTTTTTTTGACAACCCAAAATAGAAAAAGCTTTTTTTACGACGGCTAATATGGATGAAAATAGCTCCAACAACAAATGAGGAGATGAACTTTCAGACAGGGCATAAGCAATAGCATTTTCATTATTCTTCAAAATTAAAAATGCATATTAAGCATCCTTATCTGTTTCAATTCTGTTTTCCACTCCATTATCAACCACTGTAAAAAAAACAAAAATGAAGAAAAATTCAATTTTATTGATTCAGGAACATCCTTCTTTTTGCTAGCAAGCGGACAGTTGCAAATAAGACTTGGACAAGCTTAACAATGCACTGAGATCAAGATTTTAAAAAACCGGACCAGCAACAAGCCAAAAAAAGAGAAGTAAAAACGGAAAACGTCTTTTTTCATTACTAGCAATGAACAAATTTTCCTACCCTTTCCTACTTCCTCAATCAATCTCCTTTTCTGCTTCTTCTTACCCCCAAAATCTCCTTCCTCTCGTTAATTTTATAAACGTTGGCATTTTTCACACACAAAAATTTCTTTTTGCATATTACATTTCACAAAAATACGAATGTTGACCCAAATTTTTTTCTTTCTGTGCGGCTTCTTTTTTTCTTGCATTTCTTCTTTCTTTGTTTTTTTTTTTTTGAAATTTTCCAAATAAACATTTAAAAAACAAACATAATTATCTACCCATTCATTTATCTACCTATCTATCTACCTATATGTCTATCTACCTATCTATCTATCTACCTATCTATCTATCTATCTATCTATTTACCCATCTAAAAAAATTGTTAATGTAATTATAAAAGCTGCTAAATAATCCGTATTCCGACAAAATGCATTTTCTTTTTTTTTTTTTAACTTCCTTTTCAACCTCCTTCCTCGGTAATGGTTGCTCAGCAGTAACATAATTCGCAAAGTCAAATACCCAAAAACTGTTTCAACAGTTCCTCATCGTACGGTAATTTCACTGCCATTAATCTTAAAGTGCGAATTAAAAAATCGTGCCAAGAAAAACAGCCAAATAAAGCTTTCAATTAAGTTATGTGAAAAAATTTTCTTTTTTCTTTCTTCTTTTTCATTTTTTTGACTCTTTTTCCTTGTAACATTCCGGCCACTAAATTCTCATGCATTAAAGGAGAAAAAAAGACGAAGAAAAATCAGGTCATCATTGCAGGTCAATTACTGAAATCAACACACTAACTGTAACAGCTTAATATCGCACCTTAACGCAGCTCTATTTCGCCACAACGGCTTACTGTACGTGGCATATTCATAATTACAGCGAAAAAGTCATATGTTAACTTTGAATCAATCTGTTGATCTAATAGAAGTGCTTACAACACTATCAAAAATAATGTTAACCGCCACATCACTAATATTTCAGTAAAAAATTCAACCGAACATTGTTTTTTTCTTTTCTTTTAGAACCAAACTATTTCGATTATAGACGGTGTTCAGATATACCACTTCTTAGTTAAACGTACATCTCAGATAGCAAGTTGCCTATTGGGTTCAAGCGTCAACAAACGTTTACAGGTTTTAATTAACTGTATTTTTAAGGAAACAAAATCCCTGTCCTTCAAGGCCGCTGAGATTCATATGACTTAGGTTATCAAGATTTTACAGCTATCCAAATGTACAGTAATAAACCACAGTGCAAGGTCTTCAGAGAAATTCATTCTGTACAACAGACAATTCAAATGTGGTTACTCATGGAACAACTTACATTTCTTCAGATTAATTTATACGTTTTAGTTATTTGTGGTACAGTTAAAAAAATATAAACAAATTCTTCTGCTCTTCAAATTTGTATATCTATGCAAAATGAGATCGTTCAAGGAAAATCTCTTTCACAAGTGCTGTTCATTCAAATCTTGTTTTGCGCAGAAGAGCGATGAGTTGCGTGTCCTTAAAGAAACTCAAAATTAGGCCAAAAACGAAATTTAATAGCAAAAATTTGTAAGAAAATGAGCCGACCGATGACCTACAAGCTGTGTAAATATTGCTATATTACGTAAAATTATTTCTTTCAATTTTAGGTCAATCTAAGTTTTTCGCATAAGATCCCCCCTTTTAAAAACCTAAAGAACACTAAATAAAATTTTATGTTAGCCGTTCTTTTTCTTTTCCGTCTCTCCGTTCCTCAGTGATTTCTTCAGAAATCTTTTTTCATTTTCTTCTTTTCTTCTTTTGAATTCAATTGAATTTGACAGTATTCAGATTATTTATTTATTTATTTTTTGGAACAATTACGTTAACCTAAAAAATTGGCTTCTTTTCAGCCACCTACTAATCATGGCAACAAACAACAACATCAGCAGTAGCACCAAGACCAACACCAGCAACAACAGTAACAGAAGCCCCGAACACTGTCACAAATAGCAATTACTTGAAAAAGTTCTGGAGAATTTATTTTCCCAGTATTTCCACGTACTTTTCAACAACAGCAGTAGAAATGCTCAAGAAAATGTTGACCGCAACACTGTTAATCGACGCTTTACGACCCATTCAGAACATCTTAGCTTCCGCCGTTTAAACCCTAAACTTTATCGCCAAACACTTTCGTTCAAAAAATGTCATTTTAAATGCAGTTGCTGTCCGCAACTGTCGATAATACCACCAACAGCAACAGTATCAGGTGTTGCCAACTATGATTGGAAATGTGCAGAATAAGGAGAGCGTAAAATGAAACAGAAAAAAAATTGCATTATTCTGTTTCCATGTATATTTTTTTTAAACATTCCTATAGCTGTGTGGAATAACGATGAAGAATATCAAAATAAATAAAATAAAATAAATGAACGTAAATTTGCCCTAATTTTTTTTTCCTTTTCCTGAATTTTCTTATAGTTTTTAGCGGTAATTTCTGGTAATTTTCACAACAACAAAAACTTCAGTTTTTTTCGTCTACACTTATTATCGGTACATTATTGCTGTTTTTTTACACTTTTTTTATCTTTGCCCCCGTCTTTATCTCTTCTCATTCAGTTATATCCCGTCTTCCACAAATACGTACACAATTTCCATCCATACCTGCTGTCTTAAAAAATTCAATTAAGCCCAGTGTCTAGCGACTTGTCCTTTTCCAAGGAATTAATATAAGTCGCTGAGATTTTTATGGATAACGATAATGATGGTGATGATGATAGTGATGATGATGACGATGATGATGATGATGATGATGATGATGATGATGATGATGAGAAAAGACGGTGCACACAGTGCGGATAAGATGGATCCCGAAAAATGCAAATCTGTAAAGACAAAAAACATGCACACACGTACCCATAGACAAAAACACATACACACACACACACACACACACACACACACAC